ATTAAATGACAATGGATGTTGAGTTTTGTCAGGAGACTTGTTAATAATCTAGGAGATAGCCATATGACTTTTTTTTTTTTTTATGTCAAGGTGAGTTTATTGTCCAAATAGCATAACCTAATTGCATCCAAAACCAATTTCAAATCCATCTTCAAATCCATCTTTAAACTAGTCAAAAGAACAGGTTATTACTTTTTAAAATCACTTAACACTGAACAGATAAGACTGCTTAAAAGGCAGCTGACTTTTATCATGTCACCATCATAGCCAATACATTTTTTTCCATACTTCCTAAAACACTTTTTTTTTGTTCACACTCATCATGCTACGTTAGCACTTTCTAGCATCCCGACCAAATAAACACCCACACCTCTTATAGAGTACATTGTGAGAGAATAACATTGACTTGATATGGCATCACACTCATTTTAAAGCAAATTAAAAAAAAGAAATAATAATCCAAGACAAGAAACTATATCAGAGAGAGAGAGAGAGAGAGAGAGAGAGAGGTCTGAGGTACACGGTACAAGGGTAATGAACATAATGGAAAAAATTCAATGGCCTGGTGGAGTTGCTGGGGATGTAAGAGTTGGCCAGCAATAAGAACTACTAAACCAATTAAAAATAAGAAAGAAACTTTTTTTTTTTTTTTCAAGGACAGGCACCTGTCAAAATATATTGGACACTGTAATGGCTACAGTCAGTAAGGCACTTTTTTCCCCAAAGTGAGCTGCAGGGAAAGGATGCACCCTGCAGCTACAGTGTAGCTGTATTCATCAGCTGATGGCTTCTTAAAACCTGAGCCAAGAACAGGGTTGACAGCCCAGCCAAGTTCAAAAGCAGAGACGCACAAGTGTAGGAGGATAGTTCTGGCTGAAGTGACTATTCTGGGTTGTTTAGAATCCAGAATCATCAAGAGTCACGGGGTCTGGGGAAGTCATAAACATCCTCTGAGATCTTCCTACCCTATTTTGTACAAATGGACGACTGCACCGCAGCTCTTGAGAACTGCTCCAAGTCCGCACCAGTGTAAGCTGTGCTCAATCTATACCTAGAGAGGGTTTGTTGGCTGACGGGGACTTCACTGTCTCAGCATCCATTTCCCTTTTAAAGCTATTCCCAAGGATGGACAGTCTCAAAGATAAACAAAGAGGAATCCTTTTGGCTTAGAAGTTAACCTGCTTACTCAGACTTCCTCCTACCTCCCATTTCCACACTACCAATATTACCTGCTTGAACTAGAAAATTAATATTTACAGGACATAAGGTGCAAGTCTATCTCTTCTCCCAGCGCTATCTTCTGTGGCCCATGGAGAGAAAATTCCCCTGCCCTCTTTGAGAAACTCATCCAAGCCTGCCCTAATTGGAAAGTCATCACCTATCAGTCCTATAGCTCCCAAGGCTCAGCCAGGAGAGACTGTGGGAAAGCCCCAGAGCTCCCTCTGAGATATCACCTATCTTGCTAGCAAAGGGATGCAGAGTGAGGCAGGCTGGGGAAGCTCCACGGACGACCCTGCCCTGGCTGACAGAGGCAAGATGGACCCTCCAGTAGAGAGCACGCAGACCAAGGGTGCTCATGACTATAAGACATGTTGTGCTCTTCAGTGGGGTCCTGGGACAGTTCAAAATGAAGAAATCTCTAAGAACAGCCCCTCTGGAAGGAGTTCGTGCCTCTCAGCACACGGGACATTCAGCTGAGAGAATCTCCCCCTTGCGTCCTGCAGGATTCCTGGCTGTTATGAACCTGCATGGAATTTTCTTATGCTTAGCATATATTTTTGGCATACGAAGGTCTCTTCCCCTTACAATTTGGTCAAAACAGGGAAAGGATTAAAATTTGGCAGGCTGGAGGAACAACTTAGTCCCCACTGATGGAGGAAAAACAACAAAAGAGGAATAAAGAAGAATAGATGGCAAGGTAGGAAAAGAATAAATCTGGAATCCCTTTATCGGGTGGTGAGAAAGAGGGAAAGAAAGGTAGGGGGAAAGGAAGTTCAAATCAATTCATGGGGAGAATTGAACCCCTCTGGGACAAAAACTCCTACCAAGGAGTTGAAATCCAAAAAGGGGGTTCCAGTTACTTAAATGAATCCAGGATTCCTTCTTTTGTGTCAGAAAAGCCAAACAGCCCCATACCTACTATCACAGTAGGCCCCAAGGATGGGAAAGGGGAAAGGCTAGAAGTGTCCAGTGTCACCTGGGCTCAAGGAAAAGTGGACAGTTACAGACTGTGGGTAGAGTCTCAGGGCCTATTCCTTCCTTATCTGTCAGGTCCTGTCCTTTGCTGCTTTCTTTGTTTAAGACCACGGTTTGGTCGTTGTTAAATGAAAGTACACCTTGTTTCCTCACTGGGCTTCAAGCCTCCTGGTTCTAGGGGACAGCTCCCCATAGAGGACTGGCTAACTACTGGCTGCTCAACTTTCCTCTCCAAAACTTCTGAATTCACCACCCACTGACCCACCAGAGATTCCCTCTCATTTCAGGATTGCATTTACTCACAAAATCCTGAACCCTCCACGACACACTTCCCGAGAGACTGGATCACCTGGAATTCACCTCGACAGAGAAGCAGCCTCCTCGCATCCTTTCAACTTCCAGCCCTTACTCGTCATACCTGTTTTTCCCATCATGCCATTTCAATGATTCAGAACCTGCAAACCATCTAGTGCCACCAAGGGAGAGGACCTGGCCCCTGCACAGTGCTTGCCTGCCACAGCCAAGAACAGAGGTGAGAGAAGGAAGCACCATAGATACCGCCAGCCCTAGACTCATCCGCCCACAGATTCAGACCTAGGAGAACCATGGAGACGATCTTACTCCTGGGGGGGGGGGGGGGGGGGGTCAGGCCAGGGAAGGGGAAAGACAGAGGAGGAAGTGAGAAACTTCCAAGATGAAGGGGCCTTAAGCAGACGAAGGCCCTGCTTCTGAAAGGTCTACAAGAAGAGGATCTCCAAACAGCCTGCTGGAGTTTGTTTTCATTGTTTCCTGATACCTGGTGCCTTGTGGGAACCGAGTTCCTAGCCCATTGCATGAATGTTCGGGTTGAATGTCTACCGTGAGGGGGAGGGAGGGAGGATCCCTTGGTTCAATGTATTTTTTCCATCATGATGAGGATACCGGAGTCAAAATGGGAGCCTGGTGACTTTCAAAACTGAAAAGGTCCCCAGGTGTGAGACCTGGGGGCCAAATCTTTCCTGCCTTCCTGAAGGGGCCTTCGGCTGCCCCTCCTGCCTGCTCTAGTCCTCACGAGAGTGGGCTCCCAAGCAGAAACTGTACGGTTGTGAGGTATTATGAAAACAAAAAATGTGAACCATTGTCCTTTGTACTTATTGATTTTTGTCCAGTAAACCTGAGGTAAAGAATATTCTGTCTTTGAAGAATGTGATCAGAGGAAACCAAACCAAACCCCCCCCAAAAAAAAAAAAAAAAAAAAACCAACCATGAATCTGCTACCCGAAGAAAACAAACTATGGAAGGGCTTTTCCAGTACGAAGAACTCATATCTCAACCTCCTACTTCAGGACTTGGAATTTAAGCAGTAAAATAATATATTATAAAAATGTTTATAAAATAGCAGCACACTCTGTGAAACATTACAGCTAGGTACTGTTAATGTGAATAAGGATGAATGATCTCAGCTTTTTAGCAGCGCAAAAAAAAAAATAACAATAAACTGAATGAAATAAAATGAAAGATAAGAAACCCTTAGATGTTTCTCCATCTTCAACCCTCATACTATGAAACAAGGCAGAATCTGCACATAATTCTTCAAAGTAGCCCTGTTCTGATTTTTTTTTTTACTTAAAAAAAGACAAATCTTTTAACAAATAGCTTCATTACCTGTCAATTACAATTGTGCAAAAAAAAAAAAACCCTCTGCTAACTGAATGCCTCTAAGAAGTGGAGGGGGGGGAATTCAAGTACACTGAATACAACTTTGCAATAAAATTAACAAAAAAACAGAAAAGGGAACAAAATGCCACACCCTGATGTTTGGCTGTCTATGTCTTTGCACCAGCAATTAACTTTCATGTCCAAAGGAGAAGTATATATAGATGGGAATTCAGATCCTTCTATGCCATCAAATGGTAACAGACCTTTGTTTTTAGGCTTTTCTGAGGAATGGTGTGATGGGAATGTTAGCAGAAAGAGTTGTCTCTTGAGCCCTGGCAGGGGTACTAGAACTATGTACCAGAAAATGCCAGATTCCAGAAATGAAGAGTAACCGGACTTGGGGCAGGAAGGGAAGGGGCAAAAAAGAGAAGAGGGAAGGAGTATTCAGCACGATTTGCATAAACCATCCCATCTATCCCCCGGGAACAATTTTTCAAAGTGCTTTTCGAATGGAATGGTTTATAACAATGCTAAGCTGTGGACCAGACATGCCAATCAGCACCAAAAATTATTATTATTTTTTTCTAATAAGGGATGCCAAGGTCACCTCACCCTCTTCCATAACATAGAAGATTCCATTCTAGATCCCGCCCTTGGTCTCCATCTGCCTCCATTTCAGATGAGTTTTGGTTATGGACCATAGCGAAATTTCCTCATTAGATAACAATATAGTGGTGTCTGCAATGAACCATGTTTGGAAGAAGAAGCAGAAAGTCACCCAACACGAAACCCAGGAGCCAATCACCTGTGTCCAACTGGCAAAACCCAACATCTCTTTTAGGTAGCAGCTACTATAGGTAAGAGTAGGTAACATAGAGATCCAACATTGCTCCTCTCTTAGGAACATGTGGTTAGGCGTGAAGGTGCTTCTACCTCCAAAATGGTCCAATTGTGTTGACAGGTTGCTTTGTACCCCCTCCCCATCATGCTTTCTTGTTTCTAATTCCTTCTTGAGTTCATTGCTTCGCAATCTAATCATGCCATAAATGGCATACACAGTTCCTTGCGATTCCACTAAAAGGGGCACATGCACTAGTTCATAACATGTAATACAGAGTCTTCTCTAATTTGTTCCCATGTTGCAGGCGTACATATTCTCTAGCTACTTTGTAGGTTTTCCTGTAAGCATTTTACTATTGCTTTTACATAATCAAACGATAACTTCGCATATACAAGGGATTCCCTTATGTTGTACTTTGAATAGGCACCAAATGCTTTTTAATTATTCTGTTTTTATAGGACCTTTTTCTCTCACTTCTAAAAGATCTTTAAATATGATCTAGGTGGGGGCAGAATTTTATCCTAAAACACAAAGAACAAAACATAACCAGAGAGAGGGAGAGAGCAGGTGATGAACGCGCCTCTCTCCCTGGGCCCGAATGGCAGCCTCACAGGTCGATGTCCCGCACGTCCGTAGGGGTGGTGGCTTGGTCCAGTTCATCCTCCGTCTTAGATCCATCACGCTGTTCCTGACGGACCTGTTGCAGGCTGTTGAGCAGCAAGCCTCGATCTGCTCCTGGCAGGCCTTGAGACAATCCACATCTGTGTTGGTGATCTTGGCCAGCAGCTCAGTCAGGGCATCACAAGTCAGAGAGCTCACTTCCTCATCCTGCTGGAGTCCACAGATGGCTGCTCCCACACTTCCAGTTGCGATCATCGATGGCGGATACATGGCGAACTTAAAGTCGGTGGCACACAGAGCGATGAAAGTCTGGGCATGTTTGCGGATCAGAGACAACTTCTCCCTCTGCTGGGGCAGCTTGCGTAGGATGTGCTCAGTGAAGTCATGAGGGGTGACAGCAGCCAGGTTCCACTTCAATTTGCCCAACACCACCAATTCCCACTCCAGCAGCTCCTGGGGCTTGATGGAGTTGTCGGTGTAAATGCACAACTTTTCCGCGGTCAGCGGGATGGTTTCTTTGAGCTTGGAGGCCAGAAACATGCAGACAGCACCCAGGAGCTGCAGATGGGTCTTCGGAGTCGGAACCCCAGCCAAGAAACAGTCCAGGTAATTCATGGCCAGAGGGAAGACTTCCTCTTCACACTTCTGTTCCTCACAAACCTCCAGCATCCCGGTAGCCACCATCCTGCGCATGTATGGCTGGATATCCTTCTGCACGCACTTGAAGTAAGAGCACTGAGGAAGGTAGCGCTCCTCGATGGTGAGCAAATTCTGCAGGACGCGGTCGTCCAGCAGGTTGCGGTCCGGCACGGCCCTGCGGACAGGGTCCACCTCGCAGCACAGCAGCTCCATGGCCAGCCGAGCGACTCGTTCTCCTGATTTCTCCGACTGGAAAAGTTTTATTTTATTTTGTCGGAGGGGGAGGGGCGTGGGTTCCCCTTACCTCCTTCCTTTGGCAAAATCGGGGGTTTCCGGGGGAAAGATGAGGGCAGAGAGAGAAGCTGGGAGAGAAGAGAGGAAGGGATGGACGGTGGACGAGCAGAGCCTCAGGGGCTGCCTAACTCGCACCGGTCCTCGCCTTCAAACTCGTCTTGCTCTCCCCAGCTCGCTCTTCTCTGCTCTCATATGACTTTTTTTAATGGCAAATTAAATACTAGATCTTTTGATACTAATCTGACCTTTATTGGGTTATAAATATTATAATACATCCAATTATCTACAGTGTGTTAGGCCTGTAACATATGGTAGACTTCTGTTTGTTATTATTCCAGATAATACAGTACTATTTAAAAACCATTGTGAACTTTTCTCTTTATTCAATTTGATTTTATTGAATAAATAATGATATTATGGTAATATAATGATTTTATTGTCTTTGTAAATAAATGTTAAACTTATTTTGCTTAAATCCAGTAAAATCTGCTTTTAAAATTAACGTTACTGGCTTTTCAGTCCCAAGTAAAACTTTTCTCTACATTTGAGCCTTTTAAGGCAGATTGAAAGATTTATGACCAAGAGTCATAATATCTAACTGTGCCCCAATACCCATCTATAAACCTAGGTTATGCAATCTATTCTCAGACAACCTCAACTCTACTTTTATGATGATCATGATAAGATAGTTTTTCTGCAATTAGTTTTGCACACACACATACAAATGGGCAGACATTCCAAGTAGCAGAAACATGTGGCCAAAACCCACCCACAGGCTTCAACCATGTATGTGCAGCAAACTTAACCACAGCTCATAAAACTAAACTCATGAGGGATGAATGTGGCATTCACTGCAATGTGCTGATGGATGTAACCAGTTTAATCCTACAAATAATTGATGCCATACCTGATTCTGTGACATGTGTCCCAGGCAGATACAAAGTAAGAGGAGGAAGAAGTAGAGAGACTGGCCATCTTTGAAGGACACTTGTTCCTAGACAAGTGGCCGATTAGGACAAGGATGTTACAGAAAAGGTGAAATATGATCTTGAAGGTTAGGGCATAAAAGACTTTGTGGCTTGTATCTTCCTCTTTCTTGAATGACTTGCTCTAGGAGAATCTAACTGATGTGATGTAAGGAGACTCAAACAGGGAAGTTCATATGGCTCCTGCCAACAACGGCACTAACTTTCTGGGCACACGAGAGAGCTACCTTGGAAGCAAATCTTTCAGCCCCAGTCATGCTTTCAGGTGAAAGAAACTGGAGGCAACCTCTTGACTGCAATCTCAAGATACCCTGATCCTGAGACACCTAGGTACTGGAGACACACATAATAAAAGTGTATTGTTTCCAGACGCTAACTTTTGTAATACTTGTTATGAAGCAGTAGGTAACTATTTTAGTCACCTTTTTCACTGCTGTGACTAAAAGGACCCAACCAGAACAACTTTAGAGGAGGAAAAGTATTATTTGAGGGCTCACAGTTTCAAAGGTCTTAGTTTCTAGAAGGCCAGCTCCATTCCTTGGAGCTCAAGGCAAGGCAGGACATCATGGCAGAAGAGCTTGGCAGAGCAAAGCAGAGAGGGGCCTCTACTTGCCAGATACAAATATATACCCCAAAGCCACGCCTGCAATTCCCACCTCCTTCAGCCACACCCCACCACTTCAGTGACCATTCAGTTAATCCCATCAGGGGGATTAATTCACTGTTTAAGTTAAGACTCTCAGAACCCAATCATTTCTCCTCTGACCCTTTTTGCATTGTTTTACAAGTGAGCTTTTGGGGTACACCTCACATCCAAACTATAACAGTAACTAATACCCAATTTGGAGGAAGAGCAAATCTGTTTGCATCTTCTGTAAGAAGAATGGAGATGGGGCTGGGCTGTGGCTCAGTGGTAGAGCACTTGCTTTGCACATGCGATAAAGGTATTGTGTCCAACTACAACAAATATAGTGTGTGTGTGTGTATATTATATATACATATATGTACACACATATATGTATATATAATTTTTTTAAAAAAGAAGAAGAATGGGGCTGGGGTTGTGGCTCAGCGGTAGAATGCTTGCCTCACATGTGTGAGGCACTGGGTTCGATCCTCAGCACCACATAAATAAATAAACAAAAGTATTGTGTTATGTAAAACTAAAAAAAAAAATAAAATAAAACAAGAAGAAGAATGGAGATGAAGATCACTAGAATATGCAGATCAAGAACTAATATTCGAGGGTATGAACTAAATTGACAAATAAGTGCTAAAGTCACTCAAGATAGTGGCAAGACTTGGAATAAAGAAGAGACTCGAGAACCCAACTAGATCCAAAGTCCTAATTGAAAAAAAATAGGATGGAAGATGGTTGACACAAATTCAAGCACTTAAAAAGGGCAGGAATTTTTCTAAAAAAAAATAATCATATTGGAACCTAATTAAGGGATCTTTTAGCCCACTTTCCCACCTCAATGCACATAGAAATTGACTCTGATGTATATATGAAAAGACAGGAGAGGCTCAATTACTATCCATGCATTAATCCTAGCCTTAATATCAATTGAACCTTGTTATACTATCTTAAGAGTTTTGGTCAAACTACTGGTATAAATTTTCTAAGGAAAAGAAATTAAGTTGCCCAGATTCTTATATTTTTGTAAAACAAGACTGTTTTGCTGCCTTCTTCACAAGGTACAAGAAAATTATTTGTTTTTATTAAAATGAAATCTAACTTTGGGACCACAAGCCATATATGTAAAATATATATATTTCCTCTTTTTATCTATTTACTTCTTTTTAACATTTTTTAAAGCTATGTTATTGCATTTTTATATCTTTATTTTATTTATTTATTTTTATGTGGTGTTGAGTTATCAAACCCAGTACCTCACTCATGCTAGGCAAGTGCTGTACCACTGAGCTATAACTGCAGTCCTTCTTTTTACTTATTATAGCTTTGGCTTTATCAATTCCCTGGTATTATACCAGGATTTAGGGAACAAGCAATTAGGGAAATGTGAGAGAGGCCTCCTCTGGTCAATAGGCCACCTGATCAGCATTGGACTCTGTTCCAGCTCCCAGAGTCTGCAAGAACATAGAGATAGCCTCCTGTTTCACTACAGCTTCTGAGGCCATGATGCCCAGGTGCCTATGCCAGACTAACTATGCCCTGGCATTTGTTCTTTCTATGTGAGGGTTCTTGCCAGTCACAGAACCCACAACCCTCTGTTTGTGCAGGCACTGAGACTCCAGCTCTCTCTCAGGCTGTGACCAACATCTTCCCCTATGAGCACCAGGCCAGCTCCCTACTGATAATCTAGCAGGGTTGTCTTCATCATACCTGCAAGTAAATGTCATTTGGAAAACTTTTACATCAGTAATACTTAACTTTTTTATTTCCATTTCAAAAAGTTTGAATTTCCTCCTGAAACAAGGGAGTCTAAACATAAGAAAACTTGGCTATACTTCCTGCAAAGAGGCATGGAAACATGTTTTCATCTGATTATGAATGCCCACTGCAACAAAAAAGAATCCCTAATTGCTCAATAACTTGTGATTATTTTCCATTGTCTTTGGTGAACATTTATGAATTGCATGCCTATCTCTTCCATTTCTAGAAACTGCAAAAAATTTTACCATGGTAATATCTTAGTAGGACATTAACACAGTGTGCATGCCTTTGGCACACACAGTGGGTGGGGTTACAAATTAACTTGAGATTAGCAAAAGTTATACCTTGGAACATTCCGATCTAGAAGGAGAGAAAAAAGCTAGTAGTGTCTGCCCAACACAATTTACTATTAAAAAAAAAATTTAATACTTTGAGATGAAGATTGAGGAATATAGCATGGATAACATTCATTTTTAAATTAATAATAATTAATTTAATAATAAAGTCATTGTATTTGTGCCATTTTAACCATTTGTTTAATCTCAATAATTCTTTCCATAACCAGGTTATAAAGTGGTCACAACATTTTGATTCCATAATCTCTTCCACATTCAGTATCCCTTACAATACACGAAGGTTTTTGTTTAATTTTTTTATTATGGTGTTCCTCAAATCCAAAAAGTAAAAATATTAATGTAATTACATATATAATTTATATATAATGAGCACCCACAATAATACCATGTGGATCAAATGTTACCATTTTTTCTCATTCCCATATGCCTTTTTTCTTTGAAGAAATAAAGCACCAGATAACAGTTGAAGCCTCTGTTCCGATCACCAATCCTAACTCCAGCCCCCAAATTTCTTCAAGTGCCTCCATCTTCTGTGCTTTGCATCTCAGGGAGGGTAGCCTGGTGTTTTAAGTTTCCCATCTTCTTCAGACATAGCAAGGGGTAGTCTCCTGCCTGCATGAGGGAGAAATGGCAAAGTCAGGTCCTACTGCTCCCTGGGGATTCTTTCTCAGTTCCTGCCTCAGTCACTTATTGCTATACTCAGGGTTGCCAATTAAAGTTCATTTCCAAGGAGGAGTCTGGTGCCTCCAATTCCTAAACCTTTGTGAAATTCTGTGGGGTGAATCACTTCCTATCAGCATCCTCTTCTGCAGGCTTTTAAGTTTGTGATTTAGTTTGACTCATATTTATCATTTTCCAGCAATTTTTTTTAATTTCTGGCATCTTATACTGTCTTCCCTTCTAATTTCTATCATTTCAGTGGCTTTTATTACTATCTTATGAGGTAAAAAGCAAAAAACCCTTCTTTAATTAATGCTATGGTTTGAATGCTTTGTCCCCTCAAAACATTATGTTGAAATTTATTCCCCAATTCAACATGGAATGGCCTTTGGGAGGTGATTCATGAATTTTGCGAGCTAGCTGCCCTTATTAAAGGACTTGATGGAAAGAGTTCAACTGCCCTTACCCTTCTACTTTCCACCGTGTAAGGACACAGTGCTCCTCATCTTCAGAAGACACAGCACCTAGGGAGCCATCTTGGAAGTGGAGGTGGGACCCTCACCAGACAATAAATCTTGATCTTGGACTTCCCAGCTTCCAGAATTGTGAGAAGTCAGGGTATTTCATTATAACAGCACAAATGGATAACGCAAATCAACCAGAGGGTTTCTTTCCCCTATCATAATAAATTTCTAAATGACTAATGTGACTGATGAAATGGCCCAGCAGAGTATCCTGTTTCAAGAAGAACCATTTTTAAAGGATAAGTTTTGTCAATAAA